AAAATGCTTGTTTTCTGAATGAAGATCGGGTCGACCAGGCTAAGCTAACGTTGTATATGCTCATTCCACACTCATAACAACGGCCTACAGACATAAATAAAGCAGCGACTGTATTCACCATGACACAGACAGTCTGTGGTTTGTACTTGTTTAACTTTTGTCCAGTTTCTGAACAGATATGAGGAGCTGTGAGCTCTGTGTGCTAACTGCTAACAGCTATCGGCTGATGTTTTCTGGTTGAACGTCAGTGACGGCAGGCTGAGATCCTCACCGCTGATTGGCTTCCGCGAGAACGCGTCACGTGAATTTAACGCTCGAGTTGAAAAAATTGAACTCTCGCGTTTGACGCAGCACCGTTCAATCGCCTCAATCGCGTGATTCACGCCGCATCCACCGCTTCATGCTCGCCGTCCGAGCGAATTTGCGTCTGTCCGCGTCTCTGCATTGACTTTACATGTAATCGCGCCGCCCCCAAACATCGCATCGCGTCCGGTGTGAACGCAGCATAAGAAAGGATTTGTTATTTTTATGAGCTATTCATTTCATTTGACATTACTTTTCATTTCAGAATTTTTAAAACAACAGTATTACCTTTTATATTTGATGCAATAGCTCAGATATTGCACCATCTAGCAGTGTGGGGCGTTGATATTGTCAGCTTGTTGATGGTGTTGCACATGCTGCGCTGTAGTAATTCCCTGTCTTCAAAGGCCAGACAGTCAATAAGTCCTGCCCTGTTGAGCAAAAAGAAAACGTAGCTTCCACCACACTGTGTATCGAATTCTTAGTAATGTTTGCTCTTTTAGTTTCACAGGGATTTCCCTAAACCACATCAAACAGCCAAATCTTATCTGCCATTGTTGTTCTTGGCCCAAAATCGTGGATCGCTAGCAGGATTTGGATTGAACAGGGGCTTGTTGTGAAGCCAGTCTGGGGATTGGACAGTGGAAAGGTCTGGCTTACCAAATTCCTGAGTTGGCCTGAAATATGCCAGGTTTGACATCAGCAGGGGAAAGGAGAAAAGCGGACAGAGGAGTTATTTCTGGCTTGGCATGTTCCGTTTTCTGATTGATGATTTAGGCAGAGACCTCCGTAACAGTGTGCAGTGAAATTGTTGTCAGGGTGATGCAACAGATTGGGGTCCAGTTACACTTTTATGACTTACTGAAGGTGGTAGCTACCGTGCCAGTACCAGCTGTGTATCATACATTTGGGATGTGCAACAGGCCTTTTCCTCATCAGTTTGGTATATTAAGGTGCAGTCATATTTACTCTATTCGCTTGTCATACCCTAACCAAAAACAAAGTTCAAGCTGCACAGAAAGTGTGAAATATGAGCCCTCTACTGTAAATCCTCATAGGTATTGCAGTGTGCATACGGGGAACAATTTCCTCTTATGGCTTAACTCTCTTGATTATTATTGATACATTTGGGGTAGTGAGTCATTAGTAATTGAAAGTAACATTTTCCAAAGCTCAAGCCATTGCAAGATAGAGTTTAAAACATTCAGGTAAATGTTACAATAACATTATAACAGCCGCAATAATAACTTGTGTGCTGTAGCATCCAACCCAACGGATATCGATTGTATGCGTCATGATTCAGGGATGCCTGGAAATGAGTGATATTGTTTCAACAGAACTCAGAGACCTTTTTGAGCCTAATGGCATTATTGCTAATATGCTTACAACAAATGCTAGGCAATTTTTCTCACCTAGGTTTTGCATTCGAGTATGTACTGCTGAGCCTGGGAATATTTTTGCAAGAATTAAGTCCAAAGTATGCAACCTTTTGAGCCGTTGTCGTGCTTACATCACGGTGTTGGCTGGAGGAAAATCCATGGAAAGACTGCAGGCAAACACGAATAATCTCTGGGTTGTGGGCTAAAGTTGCATCTCAAAAATGTTGCTGTGTAGTTGGGGTCCAGAATTGGAGTAGTAATGTCCCAGATTTCAGATTTAATCCCATAATAGCCTTTAAAAATCTGTCAACTATCATAAATAGGATCCTAAAACGCAAGGAGGCAATCATCAAAATGCTTGTGTTTGGAGCGCTCACTCATACGTTTACTTTAATTAAGTGTTTTAAGGGTTAGGGTTAACCTAATGTTTTTTATTTCAACTTAATATTATTGCTTTCAACTAACCTAATACATTTGTGTGAAATCTGTTGACATAATACATTCAATTAAATGTAACGTTTCAGTTTTCTCAGTTTATACGTTTTAATAAGGTATTGTCTGTTGTAGGTATGGATATGCATAAAGTTTGGTCGTGTCCACCTATCAGAAAGTGTCTGTGATCTTTCTTCCCTCGTTTCTTCTAGATATATAGGCAGATTTAAACTGATAATGGCCCTAGATGAGTTGTCCAGTCTTGAATGTGCGCACAAAATATTGCGTCTTTGCATTTAACAGTTGTTGAGACATTTTACTTAAAATAATAAAATGTCACCTTGTGCTGGCATTCAAGGAAATCACCAAAGTCTTGAGCATTCCTCCTCTTGACTGTACACATTATTCTGCTAATCCATCCTGTAGAGATTGAACTAGGTCAAAACGTTGACATGCTGATGGAGCTAACAGAAAGTCAGGGGACCACGAAAGTAATAGAACTCATCCTGTGGGAACCATATATTATATGTCAAAAATCTAATCTAAACTAAAAAAAAAGATCCATTAGTGTTAATATTCTGTCACTCTTCATCAAGTGATGGATGAACATTACACCATCCTTATAATTGCATTCCACCTTTTAAAAGAGGAGTTTAAGGACAACTTCGAAGAAGGATGTATGCAAGGAGAAGGACATTTCAGAACGGGGACATAGCAAATGTTTAATGTTCATTTGAAACATTTCACGCAGTTAACCAAGAATGTCAACAGGAGACAGTTAGCTCATGCAATGTTAGTATTTGGCCTGTATGAGTTCCAGCTTTTCCAAACTATTTTAGGAAATGTGTTTCAGAGGTTCTGTGTTCCCAGGAACTTAAACCAGCACACATGCTCACAGTGGCCATACATGTGTAGCCTAATTGCCTACAATAAAAACATGTCATTGATATAATAGTCGAAATGTTTCAAGAAAGATTGTTATGACTGTTCAGAGGTTTACTTGACTGAAGTCCTCACAGACACACCCAGTCTCCTCCGTTACTCATGTACTGCTGCAAGTTACACTCATAATAGATCAAATGTAGGCCAAACTTAGAAACATGCTGTGGTGCAACAGAGTGACATGGTCCAAATATGAACATTCCTCATTATACAAAAGACTTAGTGGCATAAAATCAAATGGTCATCACACCGTCATTAATACATTTGCTTTAGGCCTAGATGGCCAGCTAACGTCACACCAAATGGATTACATTGGAGAGCCAGCTGGAGGGATGAATGGAAGAAAATGGCTGATAGTAATTCAAATCAAAGCCATTCTAATCAGCCAATGCCGTAAGGATATCAGTCGACCAAACTCAAAGACTGGTAGGAACTTATTAGCTTCTTATAAATGATGAATGTCAACTTTAACCTCTCGCTCAGTACCAGTTGTCTCTGGTTTCCAATCCTGTATTGTGTTTCAAAGAGTCTGAATCACATTTTCCACTTACCAAAATGATAATTGACTTCTCCTGACATCTGTCTTTCTTTCCTTCTTTCGGACAAATCAGTCTTAGATTTCCTTGGAGTGGCTTCCAAAGATCCCATGGGGGTTTCATTGGGAAAGTCACTGAAACGCGTTTGAGATGGCAACTAATTCATCCATTCTCTTTGTATTTGTCTTCCCAGAAAATGTGGTGTAAAAGAGCACATTGTTTCCATTTAGCTAAAAATGCTTTGCTGCAGAATTAAGCATATGCTTGTTGTATTAAACGATGTGTTTTGATGGACATCACTGCCAAGTAAAGCACAGCCCATCTCCTGCTCTGCTCTCTTCATAGCAACACCATCACACCATCAGGTCATTACCCTGCGCCTTTATTTTCTTAACTTTGACTTTAGTTGACCATTCAACATATCTGTATGCCTCTAAATATCTTAAAAGTTATCCATCCAGTATTTACAGGTTGGAACCATAAGCGGTTACCCACTGTACATTCAGACCGTGGATGGTTCTGGTTTACTGTATCACAGGGGCTTTGAAGTTTCTCTTAAAACTAGACAGACTTCTTCACTCTTCTCAGCAGTGTCCTGCCTGTGAACCCTGTCAGGACCACAGAGGCAGGGGGCCAGCCTGGGACAAGGTCAGGCCCTTTTTAACAAGCTGTCATGTGTTTGGTGGTTGAAGTGTCCATCAGACAACGAGCAGTATACAAAACATCCATACATCGAACGCCATTGTTATAAAGATTTGCTTTGTGGGTGTAAACGACAGGAGAAGATTTACAAGGACATCTATTATGAATGCAAGTCCAACTGAAAAGGCAGAGATATGTCCTTCAACTCGTTAAGCAACACATGTGAAGCTCTTGAGAGCCCCGGGAGGCCCTGCTTCACCTTTGACCCCAACAGCACAGTGCTTCGGCTCCTGGCATAGTGGAATAGTTAAGCAGAGCGCTAAATAGTCCTGTAATGTTGGCGATATGGCCCCCATGTAAGTAAATGTATGGCTTCAGTACTGGGGCCAGGCATGGTGTCCCCAGATCCCGAGTCTGTTATCTTTTATGGAGGAGAATGTCTGACATATTTGGGCGGACGCCTGCTGCGCACTTCCAGTCAGCACAAACTTGAGTGCAGTCCCACAGGATGCTCAAATGTTTTCTGAATGTTGTAATGATTTACAAAGAACTGCAGCTGTCTTTTTCCTTGAACAGGGGAGAAATAGTTGGGTGCTTGGTGATCAGTAGAGAATTAGGTCCAAAGGGAGCCTGGGACACTTTACGTTTGGCTATAGAGATCGCTACTTAGTCTTATCTCAATTTCATACTGCACATAGAGGTTGTTTGATTGTCATTGCTTTTATTTACATCCTTGATTATTTCTGTCTTTCTCTTTGTTCCTCAGTGACAGACATCACGTCTCGAGCTCCATCCCAGTCCCAGCCAAGTCTCAGCTGGGTGTGTCTGCTGCCTCAGAGATGGGCTTCCCCTCCCACACCAGCTCCCCCGACCGAGGCCTGAGGAAGAGGGCCAGTTCAGAGGCAGACAAGCCCACTCCCCCTCCCAGCTACAGCACAGCCATGGGGGAAAAGCAGACCCTGGCAGCGCCCTCTCCCTCACCCCAACACCTGTCCTCCTCCCTTGATGCCGGCATGGCCTCTCTCAACCTGGCCATGTCTACGGAGCCCACCGAGGACGGAGAGGAGAGGCAGGAGAAGGAGGAGAGCAGGGAGGCAGAAGTGGAGGTGGGGAGATGCAGAAGCACAGATGGAGAGATGGAAGTAGATAAAGAAGAAGAAACTGAGGAGCAACCGACCAGTAGCACTGTTGCGTGTCCCTCTCTGACAGTGCAGGACACTGGAGAGGACAGCAGTCAGCACACGGCTTCAATGAACGGCTCTGTCAGTCTGGCTCCAGAGCTGCGCTGCTCTGTGGAGCAGGCGGAGGAGATCATGGGCACAGAGGCCACCGGGTTAGGGATGGGGATGGGGATGGGGATGGGGCTGGGGTTAGGGGTGGCAGACGAGGCCCGGATGGAAGACTACCGCTCCATCCCGGTGGACCGCGCAGTCGCGGTGGAGTGTGACGAGCAGGTGCTGGGGGAGCTGGACGCGGCCGGCTTCGAGGAGTTCTCCAGGCGCATCTACGCACTCAACGAGAACATGTCCAGCTTCAGGAGGCCGCGCAAGAACTCTGATAAGTGAGGCTAGCACCTGAGGAGAGAGGGAGGCATGGAAGACTTGCACAGGGACAAACACATGCAGGGACATCAGGGCGGGTCCACTCCCTCATCACAGCATCAACAATGATATGAGCTATTCTGGAATAACGACCAATTTGCACTTATTGTAAACATTTCCATAGTAATCTTTTAAATGAAATGCAGTTGAAGTGTAAGTATTGGGACAGTTAGCTTTACTTGTATTTGTGATGCCAGCATTCATATATTTTTAACAATGGATGGAACAGTGCTTCATTATTCAGACATTTTTAATCACAACTACATTTGGACTTGACCTTAACAATGGCCCTTTTGAATTAGTGTTGTTGTTCACTAAAAAACTGAAACGTTGACTTTAATTAAATTCATTATGTCAACAGATTTCACATAACTGTGTTTGGTTAGTTGGAAGCAATATTATTAAGTTTAAATACAACATATTAGGTTCAACTTAATATTATTGCTTTAAACAAACCTAAGGGTTATGTGAAAGTTGTTGACATAATACATGTCATTAATGTCAGTGTTTCAGTTTTTCAGTGTAGTCTGTTGATCCAGGAGACATGGGACCATAACGCAGAACAACTCAAGTGTATCAATCATTTTTCAAGTCCTTCATGCAGTACCTTTTTTGCTCTTTACTTCTTGCACAAACATTATTATCTCTGAACTGCAAGATTCACAGTGCGGGAATTGTTTCAACTTGAAACATAATTAAAGAGTATAATCTTCTCTGAGCCGGCTGTCCCAGCACTGACACCTTAGACTGAACAAGCTAATGTTTAGACGCTTCCCGAGCCTTCATTTAGGATGCATGACGGTGTGTGTGTGCAGGAGGAAGGACGCAGTGTGTAGACGTGTGTGTCGCAGCTTCACATTAGCATGCAACAGTTACACAGTTACAGTGAGGTTTCAATGAATCCCACCAATGACCTTTGTCAGGCAGGGTTTTGCCCCCACAAATGAGGTGAGAGCCATAACCAGAGAGCCCCCCCCCCCCCCGTCATTCTCCACTCGGAGTCCAGGGTCTCCTTCAGGTCTTTAGGTGAGGAGCGGGTGTCCGCTTGGAGCTCAGCACTTGGCAGGGATACGGTGCAATTGTTTTTCTGTCCATCTCCATCTCCTCGATTTCTCTCTTTTTATTTTTCAATTTGAATGTACCCCATTAATATTACCATCCATGTTAATGTCACGTCCACTGATTCTCATATGCAGTGGAGCAAAGAGTTCATCGTGTGTCTGTATTCTGTTGGGATGTCTCACTCAGGCTTTACTGTAAGTGTTAATAGCAAATGTCTCTTTTCCATTTTCTGTGATGTTGTCCTGCGTCCATGTTCTGAATGCTTTCTTGCACTGGTATTCAATGATTGCATTATTTAAGTCTCAATGATTGTGTGCTTTGTTTAAAAGAAAATCCATATTTAGTTAAATGTTCCCCACTCACATGGGATGTCGCTCATTAATATTGTTAGACTTATGTTACCGGTGTCTGGTCCTGAGGCAGACGGCTGCCCTGCATCGCCGCCATGACAGATGACTCTTCAGCCCGCTCTGTTGAGAGCTATTGTATTTCAAACTAAAGCTACAACATCACATGCTACACAGTTCAGTCAGTGACCATGTACAGATACTTTTGTATGGAGGGTTTTTGTTATTAAAGACTTACAGTTCAATGGCATGGATGTGTGTAGCCCCCTTGAGAGTGCTCGGCATATATTTCTATTTCTATTGGTGTGCTCAAGTTTAACTGTAAGGGTTTTACAGCAATAAAATGTATCAAACATGCTAACCAGCATGCTATCTTGCTCACATTGACAACATGCCAACGCTAGTTACGAAGTTATAATGTATACCATGTTTCACCATCTTAGTTACAGATTGTTAGCATGCCAACAAATACTCTTTAGGACTAAACAAAAAGAGTCTGATGGGAATAGATATCCTAGTTGATCAGGTATGTTGGTAATCAAAGTACTAAACAGACATTGGACATTTGACCTGATACTTACACAACCTGAAAAGTCAGAGGATCACCAAAGTTTCATTCTCTTGAGGATATGTGCACTAAACGTGCATTTGTGCAACAAATGAAATGGCAATCCAACCAGTAATGTGGAGACAGCTCATGGTGGAGGGAAGTTGTAGTCTGGATCAAAGTCATTGTTTGCCTGAAAACTTTCCACAGAGCTATTCCACTAGCGTGAAGTTGATTAGGAATGATTCAAGAACATCATAATGGAAAACTAATATGAAATCTTGTGAAGTCTGCTGCTGATGTGGCACCTAATAACAATGCTGAGCTTAATAAATGTCCACAGCAGGCCGGAGAGGAGAAGGACACTGAATGATGGACGAAATGAAGTGCATGATATTGTTATTAGACATTTTCTCAGGTTAGAGTTGGGTAAAGGAATCTTTCACATCAGCCATGTTAGGGCTGCTAATCATCATTTGTTGTATGATATATTCATCTGTTTGTTTCTCAATCAATTATTCTTTTGGTTCACAAAATGTTAGGGATAAGTTATAAAAAGTCCTTAAGCACATCAAATAACTTGTTCTCACTGAGCAACAACCTAAATACTGTATGTTGGTGATGACATAAGAGCATGAGGAGCAGACAAATACATTACATTAAATACATTTTCAAAACAGACTTTTCAAGTTATGGACTAACCTGTCATCTTTACACATAACATGGACTTTTATATGGCAAACGTGTTGCCTTGTCTTAGCAGGAATAACACAGGTGTAATTAAGATTGTTAAAGAGGCCCTATATGCTTGTTGTGGTTTTCCCTTTCCTGTAGTGTGTTCTAGATTTCAGTAAATCGTCTGCAAAGGCTAAGGGCATGACATCTCTTAATAGTTGACCAATCACAACAGAGCTAGACAGATAACCAATCAGAGCAGACTGGGCTCTGGTTTCAGACAGAGGGTGAAAAGAGGTGCTGCAGCACAGGCATAAATACTCTGGGTGTTTCTCAATCGCGAGTAAAGCTGCTCCAGAGCCACTATTTCAAGCATACTACGTCATCGAGTGCCGCCGAAGTACTGTTCCAATCTCCAGCATACTTGGAAATCTACCGAGCCCGGCGTACTCCGTTTGGAGAAATATCGAGGCTGCACATGAGTAGACTCCGCGGTCTTAAAATCCCCACAATGCTTTGCGCACGGACCAATTTCCCCAAATCTGTGGCGGAAGATGTAAGGCGGGGCCTCTCATATGACGCACACCTGCACACTTGCTAGCGTGTTCCACTCTTTGTTTTCCGAATGCCAGGAAGTATTCTTGACTCGCTTCTGAAGCAAGATGCTCAGCAGACATGTGCTACCAAGCAAGCGTACTCGCGATTGAGAAACACCCTCAGATGAACCTGGAAATGAGCAGAATAGGGCCCCTTTAATGCATGCTGTTGAGAACCTTCACAGCTGAATGGTAAGCAGCCATTATCAATGTTTGTTGTATCACTAACTACACCTGTGGAACCGGTGCAAACTAGTGTGGCTGGCCTTTTACTGCAGCCCATGTTTCTGTGATTGCACATAAACAACAGCTGATATGTTTATGGTTTAATTCAACAGTACTTCATGGACAGGGAAGACTCCAGGTGCATCCTGCTTTGAACTCCTTGAAAGTCATTAGTCTGGCAGGTACGGCTCATAATCTGTTCCATCTGAAATATATTTGAAATGTATCTCATTTTAGTCTTGTCAGATTGAGCATGTTGTGCTCAGCTCTCCTGGCTGGTGTACCATGCATCCCTTTTGACTGTAGTTGGGGATGAATGGAAACATTGTGAATATTGTACTGACTTGGTAAATCATGTCTTAAGCCTCGTTTTACTCCTCTGATTATAATCAACCATTTGTACTGAGGCCAGCGTATAAAAGGAGTAACTGGGGTTTTTTGTTTCCAGGTATTTCATATTTGTTAAATTGATGGACCTTTAATGCTTGTCATTTATTTCAGATTCATGACATCACATTGTTTATGCATGAACTACTATCAGTTTCAGTGTGTTGGCCAGAGCAGCTCTTTCCCCTCGTTGGCCCTTATCAATGTGAGCACCACATACCTTACATATATGTACACATGTGGTGATACATGTGACTTACAGTGCCTTCAGCACTTGAAGTAAGCCCTTTTCTAATGAAATAAGCTCTTGTGCATTCCTTTACCTCATTATACACTCGTCTGGGTAAAATCCAACCTTTCCGTGGTATTACCATGTCACTGTGTTGTCAGGGCTACAGGCAATGTTTCAATTTGTTCACATTAAGCACCGGAAAACAGTAACTTAAAGTCTTTGGAGTATACGGTGTGCTTGTAAATCACTTTCAGGCAGATTATGTTTGGCTGCTATCAATATATTTATTATACAATAAAGCTTTCTCTTTCAGAATCACCTGTTGGGCTTTTTATAGGCATTACCATTAGGAATTGCAATAATGCAGATGATTGCTGAAGCTGTCCCAGTACATTCACATGAAGCCGTTTCCTGCTCCACAAGCTCCTCGTGTCACTGCTGACTGTCTGCTCTCACGGCTAAGCCCCCGCAGGTGTCTGAAGGCCTCAACGCTCGGCCTTCTGGGAGTCACATTTAGCTGGGGACAGGACATTTGTGCCATCATGGAAGGCAGACCTGCTGTAGCATGTGAGTGCATTTTCCTGTGCACAGGTGCACGGCTTAAAACGTTGATAGTTTGCAGGTTATTATTATAGTTTAAAGTTTATGAGAACAAGAACTGAGGCATTGAGAGTGAGAGTAAGCAGGCCTCATTTCCTTACTCACAAAGCCATCTTCATATTCTCGAGCTGAGTGCTCGGTTTAAAGAGTTCAGCGCGGCTGCAATGTATAGTCTGCTGTACTGGTCATCATCACAGGCACCTCACAAAAGACACACCAGCCCAAAGCAGCAACGCCTGCTGTCTAAGCCCCGGCCTCTTGGCTTTACACCAGTGTGTGTGTGTGTGTGTGTGTGTGTGTGTGTGTGTGTGTGTGTGTGTGTGATGTGTTGTGGTGTGTGTGTGTGTGTGTGTGTGTGTGTGTGTGTGTGTGTGTGTGTGTGTGTGTGTGTGTGTGTGTGTGTGTGTGTGTGTGTGTGTGTGTGTGTGTGTGTGTGTGTGTGTGTGTGTGTGTGTGTGTGTGTGTGTGTGTGTGTGTGTGTCCTCACTTACTCTGTTCATTGATTTTAATATTCACCAGACATACTGTCCACTCCTGATGTGCGTTGTGTTATGAAGTAGACTCCATCTCAGCGTGCATTATGGGTAGGATTAACAATGTTCACAGGGAGGAGACTCGCTGCAGTCCCTCAGCACCTCATTTGTTCTGCAGCCATATCGTCTGACACCATCGGTCCCAGGTCAAAGTCATTCAGCGTACCCCTGTCATTCTATGGTCTCACTGAAATGCCATACCCTGTCATTACCTGGTCCGTCATTATTACCGTGGGCGGCGCTCGTGTACGACAATCCTTTCATTTCTCACCAGGCATCTCCACATACTGTACATTTATTTTGGGAAATATGTAAACAAATGGGAAAAAAGTACTGCATGACTGTATATTGTGTGGATTAATGACCATCATGCTTCTATGAGGAACACTGGAAGGGAAGCGATACAGAAGTGCAGAATCTTTCTTTGAACAGTTTGGTCGAGGTGACTGCAGGAAAGTGAGATGAGCTTGACCACTCTCAAGTGCGTTTGAGTGGCCATGTAAGTTTCGGAAGAAAAAAGAACATTCCTCATCTTAGAAATGAGATGGGGAAAACGTCCACTTACCATATTACTGTACAGCTGACACGGAGTCAGGTCACCACTTTATGACACCTCTCCACCTGGGCTGCTGTAACTGTTTTAGCATGAATCCGTAAGTGTCACTGTTCAAATATCAAGCAGGAACCAGGAGACATTTAGTTTAGCTTAGCAACAGGAAATAGCCTCAGTGTGGTACAAAATGTAAGTTGTGTTGCAACTAGAGGTTATGGACTATTTCTTGGCCGGGCACCGTGATTTACTGCAGTCATGTTGTTACTGAGACATTTTTAACTTCAGGTTTCGTACGGATAAACAAACTAGATGTGTGTTACCTTTGGACAGAGCCATGCTAGCTGTTAGCCACTGTTTCCAGTCCTCATGCCAAACTCAGCTAACCTTCTCCTGGTTGTAGCTTCATATTGACTCATAGACTCAAGAAACAACCTTCATTTTTAGTGGTTTAGTATATATGGTTTAAACCCGAGCTGAGGATCTTAGCTGGAGGTCGTTCCCGGTCTCCCACACGTTACTGTCTTTTTTCGGCTGTTTTGCAATGAAAGCAAAGAAGCCAAAAATTGATCTTGAACAAAAACAACTAGGGAGTGACAAGCTTTACCGAGGAAATAAATTAATCAATCAAAGTTTATTTATATAGCCCAATATCACACATTTTACATGTGTCTCAGTGGACTTTACAGTTTGTTCAGAATATGAATACGACACTCTCTGTCCTTGGACCCTCACAACGGACAAGGATCCCTCCCAAAGAAGACCCCCAGTTAATGGGAGAAAATGGAAGAAACCTCAGGGAGAGCAACAGAGGAGGGATCCCTCTCCCAGGACGGAGAGACGTGCAATAGATACCGTGTGTAAATCTTAAAGATAATACATTTTCAACATAGGTAGGCCAAATGCTGGAAAATGCATGTGTCTATAATAATAAGAAGATCGATCCAGGTGGATGTCAGCAATCCTGTGGGAGCCATCAGGGAAGTAGTAAGGTGAGCGTCGGGCAGGACCACAGC